TTGCAGGAGTGCATAGAGAGACCAGTGCCCTCCTCTGACCATGTTTGTCAGGGCACATCATTGCTGTGACCATGCCAGATGTGGATCAGGTGGCAGAAAATGCACTCCAGGGTCAATTCTCTGGCTGCTGCTCCTGCTAATCTGCTAAGATGCAGTACTCAAAGGTTGTTCAAAGCTTGAGAAAAGCCTGGGGGAACCCGAGCCACAGCTTTGATAACGTAAATTCTGCAACTGGGTAATGTCTAACGCAACCATACTTCCTTGAGATCAGTTCAAGAAAGGTGATCAGGTACTTAATTTTCTATTTTTAGTTACTAAAACTCCTTTTTTAGTTCAGGGGCACTGTCATTCCTACTTAAGCATTTAAATTCCACTAAGGAAGATCTTTTTGATTGCAGCCTGCTATGGCAATGTTAAGCAAAAAAAAATTAGATAATCCAGATCAGAGAAGGCAGCAACACTGCTGATTTTTAGTTATTGATTTTAAGCATCGGATTCAAACTGTGCAACCACACTTCTTTTTGTTTATGGTTTGTAAGAAAGCAACTCCTGATGTATCACTTTCTAATCTGCTTTATGTTGAAAGGAAGCAAGAAATGAAAACACAGGAGGGGGAAATTGTCTATGCTCTGCAAACCCTTTGCAGTTTAGCAATCAAAAAGCAGCAGAATTGCTACGTGGGTCTCCATTTGTCTCTCCTTTGGTTTCAAAGGCCTTTTACTGACACCTACTCAGGTCACCTACCTGTTTCATAGTAATCATACATATGTACAGGCACTGGTTTGATAGCTGAGACAGGCAGGCTTTGCTCCACACTGAAGGAGAAGTTGATTTCCTTCTGGGAAACCTGGAAATGGCAAGACAAGAAAATGCATCAAAACTTGTCTTTTCACAACTATCCCTGAGGCTGAGGTTGGATAGATGCATTTCTCTATCAGACTGTGTGACAAAATGCGTCATTCTGTAGTTCTCTCCAGTTTGTAAACATGATGTCAAATCAGGTAATTGTTTAAAAGCTGTTACTAAATATGTTTTGTTGCTGCTAAAATTGTGTGCTCTTTTCTTTCTTTCTTTTCATATTTCCATTGAAAAGTATCTCAACCATTCCCTGTACCTGTGTCTTTCATCACATCAGCATTCATCCTGTAATTGAAAGTTCCTGTTTGTTTATTCCTTGCCTTTCCCAGCTAAAATCACATTCAGTACCCCTAAGAGTCTTCTCTGTACCTTTTTTCTCTCTTTAATAACTTTGAACTCAATAGCTCCATTCTCCCGGTAGTTCTGTTCCTCATTCCACACTCTTACAGCCAAATGTCCCAAACTTTCCTCCTTGTTCCTCTTTCTCTGCTTCTCAAGCTTTCTCTTGCACTGCCTGGGATGGTGACACTTCTCTTCTCTATTTGTCTGTGATTTTATCTTGCTGACCTTTTCAAAGGAATGGAGCAATGGACAGGGATTCTGGATAATTTTCTCCATCACTGGTGCCCTTCTGGGTAAATTTTTCATATCTCAACATCTCAGCTTCTCTGTGAATACAGAACACTAACTGCAGTCTTCCTTATTAGGTCCTTGGAGACCAACCAATAAAAATTGCCATTTGAGAGGTCTATATGATTATTATTTCTTTTTGCTTCACCTCTCTTTCCCTTCTTGTATTTTAAGATCCCTTCTGATTTGAAGTTTATTTTTCTCTCATTCCCTTTATTAGTGTCATTGATGCAGCAGGACTATTATTTTCTCTACAAGCATTTCTTTACAAGGAGGGCTACAAGCTTTTCAGAAGAGATAGGCTGTGAAGGACAGGCAGGCACATTGCCCTCAATATTAAGGAATGGATGTTCTGTGAAGAGCTGCCTCTGAGGAAACAGCCACAAACAGGTTGAGAGCTTGTGGATAAAAATCAAGGATGAGACCAACAAAGGACACTTGGCTGTTGGGGTCTACCACAGGCAACGTGACCAGGAGGAGCCTGTTGACAGGCCAGGAAGCATCATGCTCACAAGCTCTCATGCCAGTGGGGGATTTCTGCTGCAGGGACATCTGCTGGGAAAGCAACACAGCTGGCTGTAGGCAATCCAGGAGACTCCTGGAGTACATTGAGGAAAAATTCTGAGCCAAGTATTGGACAAAACAACAAGAGGAGAGGCATTACTGGGTCTGGTGCTCCCCTGTGCAGATGAGCTCATTAGGGAGGTTAAGCAGGGAGAAAGCCTGGGCTGTGACAGATCTCAGGGTGAGTTTATTATCTCAAGGAACATGGGCCTGGTGAGGAGCAAAGCCCAGATCCTGAGCTTTGAGAAAGCAAATTTCCAGCTCATTAAGAGGTCAGTGAATGAGGTCCCCTGGAAACTGTTCTTTGGGATAGAGTTTTAGACCGGTACTGGCAACTCTTTAAGGCCACTTTTTATAGAGTCCACATGTAAGAAATCAGACAAGGCAGAGCTGGACTTTGGCATGGCTGAGCAAGGATGTGCTCTTGACACCAAGGAGTAAGAAGGAAATGCACAGACAGTGGAAGTATCCTTGTCTTCAAATTGGAGAGACGTGGATTTGAAGGGTAGACTGTTTGGTGGATAAGGAATTGGCTGGATGGACACAGAGAGAGGGTTGTGGTCAATGGCTCTGTGTCCTGATGGAGGTTGGTGATGAGTGGTGTCCCTCAGGGCTCTGTCTTGGGACCGCTGCTTTTGAATATCTTCAATCAGTGGCACAGACAGTGAGACTGAGTGCACCCTCAGGAAGTTCACAGATGACACAACAGAAGGGCAAGACATACAGAGGGACCAGGATGAACCTGAAAAGTGGACCCATGAGAATCTCATGAAGTTCAACAGTTCCAAGTGCAAGGTGCTGCACCTGGGTTGGGGCAGTCCCAGACATGAGCACAGACCAGGAGAAGAACTCATTGACAGGAGCTCTGTGGAGAAAAACGTAGGGGATTTGGTGGACAAAAAGCTGGAAATGAGCCAATACTGTGTGCTCACAGCCCAGAAAGCCAAATGTATCCTGGGCTGCATCACAAGAGGATTGGCCAGCAGGTCAAGGGAGGTGATTCTCCCTCTCTAATCTGCTCTTGTGAGACCCCACCTGGAGTACCGTATGCAGCTCTGAGGTCATCAGTACAGGAAGGACATGGACCTTTTAAAGCATGTAGAGAGGAGGGCCATGAAGACTATAAGAGGCCTGGAGCACCCTTTAGGCTGAGAGAGTTGGGATTGTTCAGATGAGAAAGCTCCAGGAAGACCTCATTGCGGCCTTTCAGTACTTAAAGGGAGCCTATAAAAAAGAGACAGAGTGACTTTTTGCATGGGCAATTAGTTATTTGGGGGAGTGGTTTCAAACTAAAAGATGGTAGATTTAGATGTTAGGAAGAAATTCTTAACTGTAAGGATGGTGAGATACTGGAACAGGCTGCCCAGAGAAGTTGTGGATGTCCCATCCCTGGAAGTGTTCAAGGCCAGGCTGGCTGGTGCCATGAGCAACCTGATCTAGATCTTTAAGGCCCCTTCCAACCCAAGCCTTTCTATGATTCTATGATTCTTTTCATATAGAAACCTCCCTAAAAGGGAGGGAGATGATACTAACTCCCTGTGAAACACTCCCAGATGAGCTGATGAGAAGCATCACATAAGAAGCTGAGGAATATTATGTAGACAATATGGGAATATTATGTAGGCAATATGAGGAACATTAGGTAGACAATATGTATGCAATATGGAATGCAACTTTGCTACATTTGTGAAATGCTATTCCATCATACAACATGCTCACAGAAAGGTAATAAACGCATATCTCTTCACTGTAGACTACAATACTGAGTATGTATATATGTATATATATATGTGTGTGTATATATATATATGGAGACACTACTCTCTCTCTATATATATATGTATATGATATTGGACTGAGTGAAGTACCTTTACATCTTTAAGGCAAGTGTATTGTTAATCTACTATTAATAAGATTTTTTCTTCTGTGAGTCTGTTTTAAACTTCCAGTTTAATAAAACTGAAAGGAAACCTCCCAAACTTACCTTCTGAAGATAGAAGAGTATGTGATTGTTCTTGATGTCTACACGATCCACAACAGAATTCTCATCCTGAAGCTTTAAATAAGGCAAAAGATAGCAATGTTAATGCAGAGGTTTGCCAAGGAGATTTACAGATACCATAAAAAATGCATTTAAAGTGGCTGCCGCGCTCCTTTTATGCCACCCCGCCATCTAGTTGCCAAAAAAAGAAATGCAAGTTGTGTTCATAACCTGATGTGTGCAAGCCAGTCACAGTTTTACTAGTCAACTTGATGCCTATGACTTTTATCATTAACTTAAGAATGCTTTCATTTCAACAAAAATTTACAATTAATTTCTGCAGCCCAAGCTGACTCAATAAAAAATATCACAGGATGTTTAGGGGAAGAACCAGAAGTATCAAAGGGAGGGATAAAGTCCATTTGGAATGAAAAAGAGTGGAAAATGAGATAAGAGGCCAGTTGCACCTGGGCACCACAGTCTCTGCTGCCTTCTTATTAGTCTCTGTTCCTGACTATTTTCCTGGGTGAAGGGTTCTCTATTCTATGTGGATGTATGTGTAGGCAGTGCCTGTCACTGAAGAAGGGACCAATGACAGATAACAGAAACTGTGTGTTTGGGGTGCCAGAGACCCCAGAGTTCAGGCTTCTTGTATGTGTGTGCATGCCTACCTATTGGGAATACACACTGAACATTGCTGTTGGTTGGATATGGATGAGGATATGAAGCTGCAGCAGTCTCACCTCTCTTGGGCTACTGGATTTGGCAACTCCTAACAGATTTGTCTCCAACAGATGAACAGCTACAAGTCTTAGACATAGAGTGTACAATGTGACAGAAGGTTATGTCCAGGGACATTACAGTATTCCCATGGGGCTCCAATTTGCTAATCAGAGACTATTTTTATCAACTTCCTAGGTTTTCCGGGTTTATAATTTACATTGGTCTTATTTTTTACCTTTTTCAGGGAAGATTCTACAGGAACAAAACCTGAGAGCATCTTCACATCAATAATAGCCATATTGGAGACTTTACGCTTTCCTGTGTAACTAAAATGAGAAAAGTTCTGTTAGTCTGGTCTGCAAACAGAAAGGAAATCAATGAATGACATTTTCAGTTTCCAATAATCCCGATTTTCTTCCTATAGCTGCACAGTAGCAGTTAACTGCCCATATTTAAATCCTTTCTTGCATGATTTACAAAACTGTGAATGCCAAGAGGATAGATGAATGAAAGGAAGTTACCTGGCAAAGAGGACAAGGTCAAACTTGGGTGGATAGTTGCTTGTGCAAGATACATTTGCTGTCCTTATGGAGAGAGAAAATCCTGCAACTTTATTTGGCAAATGGATGTTGTATCTCAGGGTTGTCTAAAAGAGATGGAAAGTGTGAGATGGTCACAGACTTAAAAGGGTTTTGTGTCTTTGGCATGACATATGCAGAGGAAACAATTATGGAGAACCCCCTGCTTATATCTCAGAGAGGTGGTGCTGAGTTTCCAGCTTGCTTACCTGCAGATAAACACAGCCAGTGCCATTCACTTCCACACTGTAATTCCCTGGAATAGTGGTCAAGGAAGCCTGCTGCAGTAAGAAGCGGTTCTTGTCATTCACCTGGAAAATCCTACTGGAGGACTCCATGGAGTGGACTTTGACTGTGTTAAGATTTGTTTTTGAGAAGGTGAGGTATCCGTACTGGGCTAAAGCTTGGAGAGCAACAACAGTGTCCTGAAAAGAGAACAATCCCTAATTAGATAACTAAATGTAAGATGAGATTAGCGCAGCTCCTATTTCCTTGATACTTTGTCAGTGCTCATAAGTGGAGAGGGGCTTGGCAAAGAGCTCAGGAGACAAGATACAAGTTTCTTGTAGAACTTGTACTGGTGGACAAAAAGCTAAGCCTAAGCCAGCAGTGTGTCCTGGTAACCAAGGCACATTAGGAAGAGCTTTGCCAGCAGGTCAAGGGAGCCAATCCTGCCTGTCTACTCAGCTTTAGTGAGACACATCTGGAGTGCTGTGTCCAGTTCTCAGCTCCTCAGTAAAGAGAGACATGGAGCTCCTGGAGCAGATCCAAAGAAGGATGACAAAGATGATTAAAGGAATAAAGCATCTCTTCTAAGGAAAGGCTGAAGGAGCTGGGCTTGTTCAGCCTCAAAAAGAGATGAATGAGAGGGGACCTCATCAATGTTTATAAATATCTGAAGGGAAGATTTTGTCAAGAAGATACAACCAGGCTCTTCTCAGTGGTGTCAAGCAATAGGACAAGAGGCAATGGGCAGAAAGTGATGCACAGGAAGTTCCACCTGAACACAAGGAAGAACTTCTTTACTGTGCAGGTGAGTGTGCGCTGGAACAGATTGCCCAGAGAGGTTGTTAAGCCTCCCTTACTGGAGATATTGAAGAACCATCTGGATGCAATCATGTGCAATGTGCTCTAGGATAGTCCTGCTTGAGTAGTGAGGTTGCACCAGATGACCCGCTGTGGTCCCTTCCAATCGGACCGATTCTGTGATTCTGTGGCAACAAATTTCGATTACCCCAGAACACCCAGAATAATGCTGTGTCAACAGTGACTGCTGTCTACTGCTAACTTGGAACCCAGGTAAATTGTCATTGCCTAAAACTAAATTATGTATGAAACTGCCTACAAAGAGCATGATGTGTCCTGGCAAGATAACCTATGCGAGCACCAGTTATCAAGTATTATTCAAATCAATATGCAGTCAAGAAGAATTGTTTTACTACTGAGATTCAGCTTGCAGACTGGACTGCTCCCAGAAGCTTTCTTTTTACCACACCCAGTTGTTACCTGGCTGGAGGAAAAACCACCATATGGGTTCTGTTGTTTGACAAGCCAGTACACAATGCGGGAAATGTAGGACAAGTCTTCTGGAGCAAATTTGGTTCTGTTGAGCAAAGCCAGGAGCACATAGCTGGTAATTTCAACCTCAGCAGAAGGGGCACGGGAAAGGAAGTCAGGGAAATGTTCTGCTGGTGGCTTATTTTCTCTCTGCCAATAAACTGAACCACCTGAAAACAGAAAAGTGGGGTGTGAAAAGAATGGAAAAATTACTTGCTGTTTTACTCATTGCAGTATCATTGCAGGAAATAGATATACAATTCTGTCTCTCTCTCTCTCTTCAGGAAATTTTTTAAGCTATTGGTGTTCCAAATGGGGTAAGTTTTACTTCCAGGATGGAAAAGAAAACAGAAAAGGATGGAAAGGGAATAAATAAAAGGAGGCTGTATAAGTCAGAGACAGACTGAAATGAAGGCAGGGCAGCAAAAGGATGCTAAGGCAGCCACAGACAGAAGCACATAACATAGTCAAGGGAACTGGGCTTGTTCAGCGTGTAGAAGAGGAACCTAATCAGGAAATTAGGTACAGTCTTCCAGTACCTTGGACTGAGACTTGCAGGGGACTCTCTCTCCACCTAAATTATTTTATAATTCTAGGAAGATCAGGCCACAGCTCAAACTTTTGTGAAGCCAAAACACACAGACAGAAAAACTCAGAGGTAAATTCAGTAGCATAGCAGGCATGAAATGGGAAGGGAGAAGCAAACATGAGAAAACTGTGCATCAGAATAGCTTACACCACACAACAGGCTATTCCATCAGCTGTATTGCTTGTACCATGGCCATACTGCCCTTACCATCTCTGACAGCTCTCGTGTCCAGCTTCTCCAGGAAGAACTGGTGTCTTTTCTCTATGCCAGCTAAGCCGTAAGCATAGGCAAAGAGGGCCTGGTTATACAGGTTGTGGACCCCATTGCTAAATGCAGTCTCCAAACAGTTCATGCCGCTCCGAACGACAGGATGCTGATAATGCAAAACACAGTAGGCTTGTCAGGTACTTGGATTTGTGTCTCTGCTTCTCTTTAAATACTTCCATCACGCTTAAGATGCAATCACTGACCTTTCATGCTAGAAATACACGATCCATGGCACATTTAAGGGCCTACAGTGTGTATCAGACCTTTCAGCCTTACAGACTGTCTCTGCAAGAGCTACTTCATCTCAGACATTACCAGCACACTACTTGCCATGTCTTGTCTACGCAGCTTTCCTTAAACATATGGCACCAGGTTTTTCTAAAGATACTGGAAACTAAATTAATGTTGCTGAAGAACTATTTGATTCTGCACAATGTTTTCATCCTGGTCTCAGGTACTTAACTGATATCCCATACTGTAGTAACTGAAAAATGTGCAATAAATCAGCACATCTAGAATATATTTGTCAGCTTGGGAACAGTTCTCCTCTTCCCCATTATAAAAGAACAAAGTCAACATAAAAACAGAAAATGCAGGCAGTATACTATGCAGAACAGAACTTGGATGCCATTCCCCTGTGTCTAGTATTCCAACCAGCAACTCGTCATTTTCTTCCTCTAACAATTCCATAGGGAAATGGAAACACAGCCTGGAGCTAAATGTGCAGAGTGATTTTGTAGGACTGAAGGTTTTGGACTGGGCAAATTCAGAGAAAAATCTAAAGTGGACTCTGGATGGGGTGGGAAAATTCAGTCTGGATTTTGCAATTACTTAGACTACTATTACATAAAACAACTGGATTCCGCAGAGGTTTTTTAAATTAATCCAAAGGCATTGGATACATAACTGATTTGTAACACTCATCAAATACTTATGGCTACTTCAGTTCTGGAAACTACTGTCTACAGGCTGCTACTGTCCTGCAATCATTATTCGCGTTCCACATTGTTAAATAATACAGATGCGAGGACTGTGACTTGTGCACTCTTTGACAAATGCCTGACTGTACCAACACAGCACCAAATACCTACTGCAGTAGAGTGTCCAGCCTCCAGCAATGCTGCCACCACGTAGGCTGTGAGTGAGTATTCAACCTCTTCTCCACCCTGATGAAAAAGAAGCAAAGAATTGGTTAGTACAAATATCCTAGAAAGAAACAACATAATTAATTCACAGCTCATATATCAGTTAGATTTGAGATCAGAAGTAATTTCTGTCTCCCTGTGTGAAGATCAAGCTCACTTAATATAAAGCTAAAATTATTTAATGCATTTTCTTGACTTTTGCATATCACATATCATGTGATAAAGCACATGATAACCTGTAGCTGAGCACATAACACAGTAATGGAAAATAAAACCTGAGACTTATAACTCAGAAAGTTCTAATTGTTTTTACCTCATCATCAATTGCAGACATAAGAATCATGCTCTGCTTGTATATGAGAGACACAAGAGAACAGTACTAGGAAGAGTAAGGGTGTGGTGACAAGCTTGCATCTCAGAAATTGTCCAAATCAATCCTAGCAGCAGGACTGGAAGTTTGGGACTATACTCAGTTACCTTCAAAGCATTGTTGAAATGCGAACCAGCATTTTCAAAGCAGCCATCTGACTTCTGCTTGCTTGCCAGCCAGATCAAAGTTTGAGACTGGACATTGTCATCAATGTAGATGTAGCGTTTGGCCTGTGCAAATGACTTATACACAAAGGCAGTGAGCCTGCAGGTGGTCCAGAAACAGAAAGTAGGTATGGTGTGAACAAGACCAAGAAGACTTACCAGTGCATAGGATGTGCATAGAAAATGACATAAAGTGAACTTCATAATGTTTGAGGTTAAAGAAGCAAGTGTTTTCTAAGTTTTAAATAAATAACATAGATAAAATCCTGATATTAAAAACAGACCTGATATTTCTCCTGAAAAAAACAAGTGCTGAAAGAATTTTTCAGAGCAGGGGTAAAGTATAGACACAGCTCAATGATTGATGTTACTAATTTCTAAGCTTAATTAATAGAATTATGAAACAAACTAGGTCAGAAGTTCAAAGTTCTGTCAGGTTACTCAGTCTTGTCCAATCATGTGAAAGTCTATAGGAATAGAGATACCCACATCTTCTCTGGACATTTGACTCAATGCTGCAGCCTTCTCCTGGGCAAGATTTTTTTCCCTTCTACCCAGTTAGAGTTGTTTTTGTTGCCATTTGAGTAAGGACATACTCTTGACTTTACTCTGTGTACCCCTGGCAAGAGTCTGACTCTGTGTTTTCCACAGTCCCTATCTAGATAGCAGAAAGCTTTTCCTAGGTTTCCCGTTAGCTTTCTCTTCTACATGCTGAACAAACCCAGATCCTTCAGTTTCCCCTTGAACATTATGTACTCCAGCTCCCAGTCATCATACCATCCTTTTGTTGTACTCTTTCCAGTCTATTAATCTCTCCTTTACTAGGGAATTCAAATTAATTGAGCTATATCCATTTAGACTATTAAAAATAAGAATCATTGAATACATTGATTGTTTTTCAAAGCCTAACGATCCACTGTTAGGGAAATAGAAGGTATCATCACTTACCATACATTCCCTTCCCTATCTCGTCTCCCAAAGGAGCTGTAGGATCCATCCCCGTGTTTGTATGACAGCTGTTTTTGGTAACCTGAAAACATAATAAAGAAGACACATTTTCTAATCACAGAAAAAGACTAGCTCTGCTGTTTGCTCAACTGAAGCAGTAAGACTTTTGGATTTAATATCAAGTAATGTATGTCTGGTGAACATAGCCAATCACTGTGAATTCTAGCTGCTTTTACTCCTGGAAGGAGGACACGTTGCTTTGGGGTGCTTTCATTGCCTGCTCCTATACAATAAACTAGTGCAAGAATTCAGAGATCAGTGCTCACTCTGTAGAGCTTAAAAGCTCAGTGCACACAATCACAATATTAGATCACTCAGAATATTCTGAATTAGAAGGGACCCACAAGGGTCACTGAGTCCAGCTCCTGGCCCTGCACAGGACTGCCCCAAGAATCACACCTGATATGCCTGAGTCTCTTGTCCAAACGCTTCTTAAACTCTGTCAGGCTTGATGCTATGTCCACTTCCGTGGGGAAGAAGATGGAAGAATCTGAGAACCTCTCACCTGTGGATAAATACCCAGTACCCCTGACTCTAATCTCTTCGGTCAGCTGCTCAGTCTTATTCAGATAATCCAGGGCATAGATATTGGGTGTGAACAAGGCCATGTTCTGTTCTCCACACCCATAAGGCATATGGAGAAGGTTATCTAAGTTCCTCAAGGCTGTACCCAAAATGTCTCCTGAAGAATGAAAGATATAAGAAGTCAGCTCAGTTCAAACTTGCTTTTATTACATATCATTATACATTGGTTTATATTACTATGAATCCAAGAGTAATGACCAATATAGAGTAAACACAGTAAACAAATACACAGCATAGAAAAAAAGCATTATAATGGCCCTTTTTTTTATTTCTTATCTGAATGCTGGACGCCTGGAAGAAACTGAGAATTTGAGAGAAAAAGAATAAGCATGAATACTGGCTGGCATGGCTTCTGAAAAACAGCTATGAATCCTTAAAAGGGTTAGATTTCCCTGCCCTTTACAACCTGCTTCCTATTTTTCATGTACGTGTGAGAATGCTGTGTGGGTAAGATGCTGATGGGCTACAGAGGTTGTATTGCACAGTATCAGCACATCTCACACAGACATAGGTATGAAAAACAATTGTATTTAGAAAACAATCTGAGTTCAGAGCCTCAGAAAAAATTCATGTAAGAGAACTCCTAAGTCTTAATAATGACTTTCAGATAAGTAGAGTTGATTGGGACCTGAAACTTTTATTTTATGGGAGCTTATTGACTTACAAATGTTTTTCATTATGCAAAATCATAAATTTGAAGTTATGCAGTCAGCAAAGTTCTGAAGCCTTCTTTCCAAGAAATCAAGATAATTTTTTCAAAGGAGTCTGCCTTATGTTACTTTTCAGCTGAATTAGCTGTTTTACTACACAAAACAGGATATGCTAATGCAGTATAATCTGAAATGCAATATAAGTTGAAATAATTGACTATTTTGTCTTCTCTTGACATGAGAGAATTTTGAGCAACTTTTGCCTCTCACTACCATTTTGCAAAGAAGAAAACTTATACTCTGAAATCAAGATTAATTACTTCCTCAACTTTACATTAAGTTTGCCTGTGTATACATGATAGCACTTGGTGCAGCACAGGAAGAGTGTCATTTACTTTTATTCTTAGTGCTGAACTTACCAATGACAGAGAAATAAGCTCTGGCTGATCCCTGCACTAGGTTTCTTGGCAAGCTCAGAGACACTGGTTCAGAAATCTTTATGCCTGATGAGAAAGAGTAACAAAAAGAATTGTTAAAACCATGTTTTTTCCAGAAGTCTTTACTTTCTAAGCATAACTACAGTGACTGTTAGAATCTGCAGTCTTGGTAACAAAAATGCCGCAGAGACCTGCCCAAAGAGTAAAAGGCATTTCTGAAAACCCCGAAGTTTAGCCTAGCACCATGACCCTGAGTACCTCTTTTGTCCATTGCAAGGGTCTCTGGTTTTGTGAGACAAGATCTAAAAGACAGTGAAGTAGTTCCACTGACTCCCTGGAATGAATGAATGAATTAATTAAATAACTGAATGAATGAATGAACTTGCCTTACCTTTTGCACAGACGAGGGAGCTCTGAGTTAACTCCTTTTTAACACCTTCAGGCTGTTTGATTGCAGGGAAGTGGTCAGGAAGAGGAAGGAAAGTATAAAAAATTACCATGAAATCATGACAATTCAGTGGTGTGAATCAGTATGTGACTGTGACTATGCAAACAGTGCACTGCTTGTACCCAGTCCTACCCCATCTCCTCTACACTATCTCTTGGTCCATGTTCTCTCTCTTATTCAACATCCTGTCCAGAGCACCTTCCTTCTTAAAAAGCAGTCTTTTTTGTCTTCCCTCTAATCCCCTTCCTAGTTTGCAAGTCAGAGGCCAAAGGCACTTAAAAGTAATGTATGGAATTTCCTCCCTTCTGGCAACATCTCTACTGACATCCATGGGTTGTCGGGGTATGTGTGCTTGTGTTCCAGAGAAGGAGACAGTGGAAGGAGGACAGTGGATGACACCACTGTGATTTTTCACTCTCATTTTCATAGGGAGAAGCCTACTGGACACAGCCCCATCTGCATCAGATGCCTTGCCTCCTCACACTAGCTGACTGCTTCTAGCCCACAGCCATAGATAGGAATTGCAGTTTCCGAGAGGCAGAAAGCACATGCAGATTTCCTACCATACCTCAACAAGTAGGGTTTGAATCAAGGTGTCCCTGTAAATTGTTTCCTCTTCTGAAGATGTGCTGTTTTCAGTACGTCTGGTATTCAGTTTGGCCTCAGCCGTAATCACGAATTTCACCTCACCTGGAAAGCCACCCACCAGCCCAAGAAAAGGAAGTTATAGTTATCTTCAATGTCTACAGTTACCCCTAGCCTTCACTGCCTTTTCTAGGCTGATGAACTGCTGAGAAATGTACATCTGTCCACTAATGGCAAGGAGAGGTCGCCTGGGCCATAACATGAGGAACAAAATAGGGGTGATCCTGGCCAAAAAATGGACAGTACTCACTAGCAGTTTCTACCTCTTCTTAGGCTTTTGCTGAGCTTTTTCTGGCCAAGAGCAGTGTTGCAATAATTTGGCTACAGCTCTGTTATGCTTTAGTTATGCCTCTTTCCCTCAGATGGAATTTATTAACAGAGGGACAACACTGAGGAGCAGCCTCAGTGCTGCAACAGCACTGAGGACCAACCCTGAAGTTGCAGAGTTGCTCTCTCACCCCTGCTATCATGGCATACTGGAAATCCAAAGGAGCTTTTTACTTGGAGCAAAAGGTGTCATTATCAGAGTTACCACGATGAGACAGCAGCCTTCTTTTTTTCAGCTCTGCACTATTATTATGCATATCCAGTTTTCATTTCACTGTAACTTTGCAGCTTTCTCAGTGAGTTTGAAATAATTCAGTCATATAGGGTTTTAGAAATAATTTTTTCAAGAAAAGATCCATCCATGGTTCATTTTAAGAAAATCTTTGCTAATTAAAAGTTCATTTGTATTTCAGCTTTTGGAGCACTTACACATGCAAGTAATTATAACTGCTTTTTAAAAAAAGGTAATGTTGACTTTAAGGCAGTGTAAATTAACACAGCTGCAGAATTGGATAGGAGCAAAAAATCCTCTTTGTCCATTGAGAATCCAGTCCAAAATTATAAGCAAATTTTATTCTTACTAAATATGTTTGGTTAGATACAAAACTGTAAGGTGAAAAATCATATGCACATTAAAAACTGACAGTGTTTCACACATCTGGCAAGTGAAGAGTTTGTCCTAAAATGGGCAGGGAATGGACTAACTAAAAATCAGAAGAGAGAAAATAATGCAACAATTCACTGCTCATTCAGTGCATCTAAGGGAGCTTTAGCAGAAGTCCAGTTCTAAATTTGTAGAGGAACTAATGGAGTTGTCCAGTAAAGCCTGCTTGTGGATTATTGATGCTGCATTAAAAGGTGGAAGTAGAAAGATCAAACAGGGACATGTCAAGAAGACGAAAAGACAATCTTACCAAGTTTGTGGGGGCTAACAGCCCAAATATAGGTTTTTCTTTCATTGGCACACACCCTTGCTGTGTTACCCTCTGGTGAAAGGATTTCTGCCTTGTAATCACTTGACTTCGCCAGTATGGCACTGATCTGAGAGAAAAGAAAGAAGGAGCAAGACTACAAATTAAATGGACTGCCCTTAAAGTTAGGCTGCAGAGCAAGGGAGACTTGTTGAAGAAGCTATTTGTCATCTACATCTGTGGGATTGTACCAGAACAGAGGGATGAGACATTTCTCAGAGGAAGTGGCAGACCCATCTCTTTTCTGCCCACTGCCAGTGTCTGGTTTTGACAGAATTACAATAAGACGTCTGTGGTCATCAGCTGAGTTGTCTTATTGAGTGACTGTTGCATAACTCAGTATTTATTGTGTTTTGCAAGCACATGTCCATACCCTCTGCTCAAGTTCCTCCTTCAAGAGCAAAAAGAATAGCTAAGTTATGTAGAGATAAAGAGCAAGTTCTCATTATTCATGAACCAGCCACAGAGGGAATGGACTAGGGAGAGGATATAGTGGAAGTTAAACACATCTGCATTTCTGGTGTATTATGCAGGGGAATTCTGGGATCTCTGGGAAACAGGCAAACATATGGAAAGTAAAAAGGAACTTGATATACCTGGACACACTTGTTGAGGTAGTTGAAGACATTGGCTATTAAATTGAATTTTTCCCCTCGAATGACAGAGTATGGCAAGGTGAGATCCACAAAGAATGGTTGGAATGCTGTCAGTGAAACAGGTGAGGTGATGCCAAACCCAGCGTCATCATGCACACAGAAAGCGCTGGCTTCCCATTCTGTGATGGTGTCAGGAATGGTGTAAATGGTATTGACCTCTCCTCTGGAACTGAAGAGAGAAAAAAAGAACAGGATGGCAAATGATCTTTGGAATTTTTCAAGACAAATTATATAATGGGCTTTCTGCTGGAGTTAATGTTTCTGTTTTCATCTCACTTTCTGCAAGATACTTCTCCATATTTTTTAAAAAAATTCTAATTCTTGAAGTATAGATCAAGATGCTGGTGAACTACATGTTAAAAAGCACTCAAATACTCAACTTTTTAAATTTAGAAATACAATTTGTTGAAAAACCAGAGTGCCCAAACACATAGATTAAAGCCAATAAATTTAGATTAATGGTCTAGAACAGTGCCTGTAGGTATAGTTAAGATAGAGATATTCTCATTTCAGATGCTGTGATTGACTGAAAGAAAAACAAAATAACCTGAGTTTTCTGCTGCTGAATTAGTAATTGGTTGAAAAATAACAAGTTTCGCTCCTGCTCTCTCCTTAACAAATATTTTTCTGTTACTCTTAGCCCTTATTTTTCCCCAAGAGAAAGATGGGGCATGGAGCACAGAATATTTGTCATTCATAGTTCAAGCAGGTTTGTCACTTTGTACAAGGTTGGGAGTGCAGTGGTCACTGATCAACATGAGAAAAGTAGACTCACATCTACAAAGCAAACACATGTTCCATGGTTTCTTCCCAGAACCCATTTTACCTGCATGAATTAACTGAAAAATTCACACAGGAGAAAAGCAGTGAAGATGAACATACTCACTCAGTGTGAACCAGATCCCAAATCCAGGTCTCAGGGAAGAATTTCCGAACAATGCTAACACCACTCCCACCAATAATCCTTGACTCATCTAGAAGCGGGGTTGTGGTAGAAGTACAATATTAGAGAGGTCAGGACAGAAGAATCTAAACTTCGGTCAGACATACTTGACACCATAAAAATGAAAACTAAGTATTCCGTTTGAGCTTTTTTCCATTCTTTTCCCCACAAAAAAGGAAAATTCTAACAGATCAAGGGTATGGGAAAAAACAATTTCTTATCTATTCTCTTTTCCTATGGGAAAAAACTAGAAAAATTAGCTATTTCATAAGACATTTCACTTCATTTCATACTGAAAGGTCTCATCATCCAGTTAAAAAGGCGTGCTCCCCATCCTCTACCAGTAGCTCTCTGATTTGCAAATGGGCAACAGTAGCCAATATTGTCATCAAAGCTTATAATGCTTTACAAACCTTCCTGAAAACTTAATAATTTTTACCCCATTCAGTAGTTAAAACTGCAACTGACTATCAAGTACATTAGAAAAGTACTTTTGTTCTTATAATCATACTACAGGTCTGATTTTAGGAACAAAGATCCTCTCTCCAGTTTTCCATAGGCTCGCTTGTGATGCCTGAAAACTAATTTAGCATGGAGGTACCTCAGATTTCATAGCTGTATCATGGAAATAACAATACTTTCTCATTCTGGTGGACCTACAATCACAGAACCACAGAATCACTGAAGGAAATCTAGGCTGGGAACAATCCCTGTAGTTCTCTAGTCCAATCTTCTTGAAGTAGAACTAGCTTCAAAGTCAGATCAGGTTGTTTAAGGGCTTTGTCCAGCTCGGTTTTTAAGACTAGCAGTGATGGAGACTCTAGAACCTCCTGTAGAACCCCTTCTAGTGTACAGAACCCCTTCTAGTGTACCACAACACTCATGAGGAAGAAATTTTTCCTAGTGTTGAATAAAACTTTCCCTTGTGGCAACCTACTTTGCTACTTTTGCTCTTTTTCTGAGCAATCTGACTTGAAGAAAGATAATCATAATTCTTGCTGACCTATAAAGGCTTTGGAGACTATGTGCTAAGTTGGCTAAGTGCTGTGTGAAGTCTTGACATTGGGAATTGCCATTATGTTTCTGAATCGACATTTTGTTTTAAATACATAATTGAATTATGATTTGCTGAAAGGTTCTGAGCTGAAAAACCCTGGAAAACTAATATCAGTTTATGAAAGAAGCAGCATCCCAGTACTCCCTGTCTTTTCTACATGCACTGTGTACCTAAGTGAGAGAGAATTGACTCTACTGCAAGGACTGTCAGAAAGAGATTACCGGATGCAAACTGGGATACGTAGACCTATTCCCCCCAAAAAACCCCAGCATACTGGCTGTTATTTTATACAGGCAACAGTTCTGAAGAGCAGGTAGGCTGAGAATGAAGACACAGAATTAACCCCTTCTTTTACCTGAGGCCTTGACATTGACGTGGCCACCATAAAGGTGAGGGTAATCTTCTACATCTACTTCTTCATTGCACAGAACTGGCTTCTGTAGCACAGAGTTGGTGAAGACTTTCAGACCCATATCCTAAATGTGAAAGAATTTGTCAAGTCAGTCAGGGCATGCACTAGCCACCAGTGCTTGTCACTGGTTTCCTCACCTCATCTCTCTCCTCCCACATCCCATCCCATTCCATCTCATTCTTTCAGCCCTGAGTGTCATAACTCTACCTCTCCAACCTTCTGTGTATTTTTTATGGAGCGGTGACACCTTGTGTTCTATAAAGGGCAGCAGTGATTGGTCTGATGTCAGCCTTATGTCCTAGGCCATGGGACCAGTGGGAAATGGAATCAAGCATATCAGAACCAAGTGGCCTAAATCACGGACACAAATCTTTACAAGGAGTGTCTGAGGTCGTGAGCCAAGGCCATGATCCTGCTTAGGAAATGTCTACTAAAACATGTTTACTAAGAAGCATAGGCAGGATCCCAGTGAATGTATCTAGTAGTGATTTTCAGTCCTCTCTAGTAAACAATAGGGATAAGAAAGCAGAAACTGTGTGATTCGAGACCTTAGGCAGTTTCAGATATCAGCTGCCTTCTCTTAGCAGTTACAACCTGAGAAAGCTGAATGCTAATTAGTTGAATGCTTATGTACACAAATTCTTCTGGAACACCTCCCACTTAAAGAGACACAGAGACCACACACCTTGAAAATGCTGTAGACATCGCCATCACGACTGACATTCACAGGTTCAAAGTACAAGCCATCAAAAAAGATGGTTTTGGTTGGGGTACACTCCTCTGGTTTGACATCTTCAAGGTTGAGCCCATTGTAGTAATAGCCATATAAATCATGCACACTAAGTTGGTAGTACACCTAGGAGGTGAGAATGAGGAGTGTAAACACAAGGAAGGTCTCAGGCAGGTGCAAAATCACATATATTCTAAGCCTGTGGTGGTCCCTGACCAATCCTGTTGATTTTGGTGTGCTTGCCTACTGATGCCTACCTAGAGAGGAATAAGCAATTTGGCTGGTGATACACAAGAAGGACTGGACTGTACCCTCCTCCTTCTGAACTGAAATGGCTTTGTGGAGTGATCTTGAGCAAAAAGCATGGAGATACACTCTTGAGTTAAGCCAAGAGGAGACTGGAGTTTTACAGGATACTGGGTGGCATCTATGGCTTTTGTTCTCAGCCCAAGGCCTATTTGAGCCGTAAAAATTCAATTTTGACATAGTCACTCCACAGCAAGGAAATATGCTGTCAAGGATTTACATGAGCCATATTCTTGGGATATGTGTTACACTGCCATGCTTTCCAAAATCAATGTTCTGCTATCAATTTCTGTCTTTGACATGTACAACTGCATTAGACTTTTCTTTCATTGCAGATGTTTCGTTTCCAAAGGAAAAAAAAAATAACGGCCAGCAGCAGAGAGATCACATGTGGGAACTCTGGATGTTATTCCGGGTGTTCCTAGTTCAAAAGAACACAGGACTGTGTATGTGGCTTACACTTTCAGCAGATAGCTCTTGCCCAGACTGATGAAGGATGCTTTGAATTGCTTGCAGGGCACAATAGGAGTTGGCAGCAGCTTCAAGGTGAAGTCCAACTTTAGAGCCTGGGAGACCCTGCTTCTCAGAGAACTTGAGCTGGACCTGGAAATTAATAAATCCAAGACAACCACATGGTAAGTAGGAGAATCAGACTGGCATATAGATCTAAATCTCACCTTTCAGCAGCACACATTCTATTTCCTGTGGGGCAAAGCTCCTACTGCTGGAATGCTCTTCTGAATCCCTGTTTGTAAAAATTCACCACCTCTATAATCCCCTAGCCACCTCCCTCTCCCCACTGTTTTGTCTGAGTCTGACCATATGTGTCAATTCCAGGGACAGCTTTTCATGATTCCAGCCCCATCTGCACCTTTTCCATTCCTAAAGGCCATCCCTTGTGCAGGGCTCTTCGTGGAGTAATTTCCTAACTGTTCTCTCAGCAAAGAGGCAGCTTATATGTGTGTGTATATATATATATATATATACCACTTAATAGGAAAGTGAAGGTTTTCACCTTGTTTTTGAAGCATACATCACTGTGTATCCAAGAGCTGTCAGCCACTACCTCTCCATGGGGATGCACCGTATAGACCAGCAGTCTGGCACTGGGGGCAAGCTTCTCAGTGACAGTCAGCGGGATGGAGAATGTACCTCTGGAAACTGTGGAAGGAACACAGACCAGAGGAAGACAAGCCAGCAAAAGAGATTATGCAAACCTCACCTTTGGTGGAAGGACCACATATTTCTTCATAACCTACTAGCACCTATAAAACCCAGGGAAATTGGATATTGGAAGATTCATCTCTCAGTGGCTGAGGAACAGCTCCTATCAGCAAAACAACAGATATAGAGGATTCTGAGAGCAAGGTGCTTTGCAGAGAGAGGTCTGAACTGAGAAGAGGTTGAACATGGAAACCTGTGCATGATTGTTATGACAAGAGCACAATATTGTCTTTCAGTCTCAAACCTGGAACTTCCAACACCAGAGAAAATAGACCAGTCTCCTGAGTTAAAGGGCAGTTCTCTTAACACTAAGAAATATGAAGTTCTTATCTACATGGGTGAAAACTACTAATGCATGGAAGGAAATTAAGCTTAAGACCAAAGATGGTAAATATGAAACAAGTCCTATATGACGAGTGAGGCTTACTTAAGCCACCTACTGAAGACTGGAAATAAGACAGGTTCTGCAAGAAAAGTTATTTTAAACAATGAAAGAATGAAGGTCGGGATTACTGTCATTTGTGGGTATTTGGAGACTTCTGAAAATGCAATAAATTTCAAGAGTTAACTGCTAAATATCCCTGTCAAATGGGACATCCATTATTTCAAACTTTAAAAAGTTTTATTATTCTAATTGATGAAGGCTAGGATGTCACAGAATAACTCTGAAACCATAAATACTCCTTGGCAAGAAATAAAACAGATTGAAGTTACATTCCATGTGTTTGATCACAATAAAATTTTCATCTTTCAATGAACAAGATAAATTTGATTATGATATGGGGGTTTAGATAGATGCTGCAGCAAATGCAAATGGTACTGCATATGGTAAGAGGTTATGGGATTTAGGAACTAGTAGCTGATTTATCTACAGTTCTCTGCTTTCATCACTTCTTACAAAACTTATTATGTTCTGGTGCTCAGAATGATGCTCTGAAGTACGAGTAGTAATACAGTCTCGGACTTACCACCAGAAATGCTGACTTGCTTCTGGCCACTGAGAGTAATTTTTCCTTTTGTCATCACCTGGGAAAAAAAAAAAAACAACACATGAAACTGGATCAAAAGCACCTTCTCCTTGCCACAATGAAATCACTGATTTTGAGTAGTGTTGTGAGAAGCCTCAGAGGCCTTGAGATCAAGCCATGATCTCTAACCACTGCCTAGTTGGGAGATTTCTGCCTCATATGGTGATCAAGAGAAGGTGAAAGAAAAGAGATGTTTTGGAAGTCACATTAGCACTCACTACATAGTAGAAGTTTGTGTGCGTGGCATTGCCGTAGCCCTCTCTGTTCAGGACGTAGTGAATGTTGATTGTTCTCTGCTGGCCACAGCTGAGCTTCTCCGGCACTGGCTCAATTCTCAAAAAGCTGTTGGTCCGTGAGTAGAAACGCCGGACCAAGAATGAGGCTTGGGGCTCCCTATAACTCCCCCAGATAAAGTCTGCACAGTCATCTGGTGCCTGTCTGACCTGTGAAATAGAAGAATCATACATGGAAAATTGACAGTGTGGAAAAAAAAAAAATGCAAGGCGGTTGAAAGGCAAAGGCACCTTTCCTCTAAAATACTCTGTTGGGAAGCTGATTCTTTTGGACTTTTTAAGCCAAGAGCAAGAGCTGGCGTGAAAAATTTGTGCTTCACCAGTGCAGAGCAGCCTATTGCAGTAGGGAGGCTATTTCAGATTCTTTCAGGCTTGGGACCAGTTGCATGAACTGCTAGGATTTACTGTGAATTAGAATGGCACTGTTCTCAAACAATCTGCTTTTTCTCAGCTCTTTCCATCATACCGGAGCAAAGGCACGACAACACGAGAAGACCATGTGATGGCAACAGGCATGAGTTTCTGCCAGCAGAAATGCAGGGGAGCAGGCAGCAGCAGTAAAAAGATGGTGTGCATTCAGGCTGGATGGGGAAGGCAGTGAAGTCTCGGAGGAAGGTTCTCTATCTCAGAGAATGAAGAGAAGGGAGATGAACACAGAAAGAGTTTCTGGTGGGAGGGAAAAGCAGGGAGGTGCTGAAGATCACTACAACCCAAAACCATGGCTGGGGTACAGACAGTCTCTTCTCAGACACTAGTATTTCTGGTGTTTTCTCACATTCATTTCACACAGATTGCTTCTAATCCCTCTCTTCAACAAAGTATTTTCTTTATGAATTAGACTGTAGCCTGTATTTACTTACTGCCAGCTTAAAACTGCGATCAAAGAAGTTGGATGTGTCAATGGAAAAAGCAGCAGTGCCATTTTTGTTAGTGGTATAGTTGGCCAGATATTCTTCATTGAGCTCCAGTAGGACAGTCTTGTTGGCAATAGGCTCACCCTTCATATTTGTCACAGTGACCTGAACAAAAAAAAAATACCCAAAGGATTCAGAAAAAAATTCAAACCTAACAACAACAGCGAAGAAATACTCTGCTTACTAGAGGATGCTCACTTAAGCACTGAGGACAATTGCAGGTCGTAGAAATCAAGAGTGAAATGTATTGAAGAGGCAAACACTCCTCAGTATTTTGAGGGAGCAGTTCTTTGACAGGCAAAGGCAGGTAATTCCCATCAGTGCAGAACAAAATAATGTCACAGAAGGAGGAGGAATATTCTTTGGAGAACATTGATTAACAAACATAAAGCAACCAGATGACTTCATGGCCAAGGTAACCTGTGGATCACAGCAGCATCTTTAAGCTCCTATGCATCTCTGCATACCCATTGTCTCCAGAGATGCATGTCCAGATGATGCTGTACAGGTCATCTTCCTTTTTGTACCTGGGTTTATCCTTCATGTGTAGGTCACAAAGAAGTCAGAATGCGCTCCAATATCTCTACTGCTTTAAGTAAACATCCCTGGGATTGTGTGGTGCAACACAGGGTAAATTCTACCTTCAGTTTAAGCAGAGCTATTGTAGAAGCATTTTCTTAAAGACTCCTCTTCCCCATTCATATGACCTTTCACTTAATTGCCTTTTAGGCATCCTTTGACTATGGCAGAAGTGGGACCCTAACACTCCAGGTATGATATAATTTTATTTTTTTTCTCTAGGAGTATTTAATGTAACAAAGGAACTATGCAGTCCTTGTTACCAGCATTATTATGGGAAGCTGACAGCACAAAGTTAGGGGACAACATGGAGCACATGCAGATCATCATGCTGGACCTCCGGGGGTTTTGGTCTAAATGTATCCTCTTAGGCACTCACCTCACCATAGTATGGAATTCCCCTCTTGTAATAGGAATCCATATTCTTGAAGAGCACTACGTCATTTTCATTATTGACTGTAACATGGTCATAGCCCTTCATCTGGATACCTGTGAGGCACACCCAGTGTAGAGAAGAGGAAACAGAAATCAGTCATGGGAAGAAAGCTGCTCCTTTTGATAAGCTGTAGGAGTGGTGATGCTCAGGAGGGAGAGCTACATAAAGAAAATTATGATTGTTCATTATTTGCCACACAGATTGTGATCCAGGGGATTCCTTTCAGGAATTTCCATGTATTAGCTTTAATCGGCTACTCCCAACCTGCACTTGGTGTTACCTGTCCCATTTTCAGTGACGATGCTTTCTATGTTGAGGCTGGCATACATCCTGGCATAGCTGCGGTAAAGCTGGAATTTTTTGATGGAGATGACAGTGTTGAGGCAGCCATCCTTCCCCAGCTGAAAAAGTAGCAAAAGGGGAAATACCATTTTTCTCAAGATTTGGAAAATTGCTCCTGAATCTGTGTTAGTGGGACTCCAAAGAACTCCCCTCCTACCCTACATTTCTCACTCCCCATCTCCCTTTCCAGATCACTGTTTCAATACCATTTACTCCAGCACATGGAAACTTCTCTCCTTATCCCCCATGTCTTCTCTATGCTCATGTTCCTTGTTAAACCCATCTTGTGTGATGTCTGTGTTGTATGACCACAGCACTTTGAGTCTGAGCTAGTGGAAAAATTAATAATTTGTTTAACATTAAGTGCCCTCAAAGACTCCTAGTAGAGGTCTGCTGATTAGATTTGGTAAGAACACAGTTCCAATATTTTAGGAATGATCACAAATTTACAGTTTCATGTTTCCCTCCCTCCTACTGACTCTTTCTGAGGGGAAAATCAAAGTCATAGTCTTTCAGCATTGCCTGTGAAGCGATGAGGAAAAACACACTTCTGAGATTGTCTCTCTGGTGTTCCCCTGTAAATGAAATGAAATACTGTGCTACATATTAGGGAGGAAAGTTGACTGGAAAGAACAGACTTGTCATGTATCATACCAGTCCAGTAACAGCTTCACAGGTTTTCTTCTGGTTTTGATCACACCGTGGACCATAAAAGTGCTGCTGGCACACATTGATTTGGGCATTCCCTTGTACAGGTTGGCCGTAAGTGTACCTAGGAGAAGATGAGACACAAGAATTCAATCGTGGATTTAGCATGAAACCTGCAAAAATTGCACAGCACTGCAGATTCTAAACCCCTCAGTATTGCCTGGACCACAGACAGAAGAGTAGTTGGGAATTAGGACCTGCTAGCCCTAGCAGAATTCCCTTCCACTATTTTTAGGCTGTTTTTGACATCTTGTTAAAAAAAGCCTGCTTTGCTGTTGTCTTTGCGTAGTCATTCTTCAAGGTCTGAAGCTGGAATGTGGTGCTGCACTCAGGGTTGGGATATCATTCCCTGCTGCTTTGCTGTTTCTCACTAATGCCTTACACAAAGCAGGTCATATTGCAGAAAGACCCCTATTCACCCTATTAGCTCATAGCACCCTGCATTTTGGCAGTTTCAGCCAGCAGTTTTAATGATAGACTCTCCTTTTCTGTATTAATATAAACAACAGTTGGCAAGTACGTAATGTTTGATTTGGATGCACACAAACTCAGTTCTAATTCTGCTATGTAGCAGGAGAAGAGTTATCATATTTTACATCACAGCAGTCATAGCTAAAGGAATTGCTCTAATCCATGCTCTCAGTTGGCAGCAGGATCTGTTTCCCAGCAGAGCACACTATCCTCTATCTCAAGGTTGTTGTGCACCAATGTATTGTCTTCAGATACTTACGAAGCACAAACGTTCACACTGACTTCTTCATCGAAGAAAGAAATCCTCTTTGGCCCAGCTGTTGTCACTTTAAATTTTGGCAGTACTGAGAACGCAATATGAATATGACTAATCAGCAATTGCATGCCATAGGCAGGTGTGTGTGTGTGTGTAAGACAGCAAAAAAACTGTTGCCAAAGACATTTTCACCAAAAAGGGAGAGGAAATAGTTCAAAGAAGAGTCTAACTAGGAACTGTAGGATATTACAGTTGAAAATACAGTAGAAAAAATAACCTTCAGTGGTAAGAGGAGTAACTTCTTTAAAATTAAATAATAACCATACTAATAATTATAATAGACACAGTAAAAACTGTGATAAATCACTTTAATCTCTTTTCTTAAAGAAAAGGGTGGGAGTAATGCTGATGTCTCAAACTACTTAAGCCCTGGAGAACAAAAGTTATTATGCAATCCAGCCCCAGTGAAGGAGAAATGCAACAGATTAAGTGGAACATTAAACACATCACTGACATTGCCTCTCTTCAGCTTATCTTTTATCCCATGCACCAGCAATACTAGACAATATATCTGGAAAAGGCCCTTTTCTTTTGCACCTGTACACAGGAGACTGGAAGGTGTGAAAGCACTCTGGAGGGTAAACAGGATAGCTGCTTTAATGCCCTTACAAAAAAACCACACAACTGGGAGTTGTCCAAGCTTTCTTTGGGGACTACTAAGGAAAACCAGCCACTGTAAGATGAGAAAACTTGTAAGATCAAAGTGAATTTGGCAACTCCCTGATATGGTCTATTACAGGATCACTATAAGGGCTTTGGCACCCACACTACCCACTGCTTTTTATCTTGCACTTCCACTGGCTACCCAGCCTCCCCCAGTAACAAACTGGTACCTGTCCTGTAAAATGTTTAGATATCTTCAGATTTCTGCTGCATAGTGCTCTTCATGTAGAGATGGCCTCCACAAAAGAGGACAGACCTGACTTTCATTTTGCCTCTGAACAGATGAGGAGTGTAAGGCCTGAGTGATAGGATGTGGATCCTGGAGTCACACAGCAACTTTGTGCCAAGACCAAAAAAGAATTAGACTTCTTAATTTAATCACTGAGAAATACTGCCTTTCTCAGATTTCTTTTAAAAATGAAATGCCGATCTGCCTTCACTTTGACCACCCAGTTCTCTCCATGTCTTTCTTTTCCAGACACGAAGTGGAGAATTCAAAGGGCCTAAACTTTGCACTAGTAGGTCTTGTCTGACTTAGGCAGAGTCAGCCTTATTGCTAGCACAGGGTAGTTTGTAAGCCTTTACTTACCATATTCCTCCACTCTGAAGGAGTGATACTCTTTTTCACCTGACTTTGTCTCCACAGTGATGTCATAAGACCCCAGAATAGGCTCTGCGATTAGTGGAAAGGAGAGCTGGACAATTCCTTGCTTAGATGCTACCTCCAACCACTGGAAGATCTTGTTTTGCTCTGGATCCTGGAGAGTAGAAGAAAGAGATGTAGCCAAACCTTTGTTACCCTGTTTCTTGTCTTCTTGCCTTCGTTCAAGTGTTGTCTCCTGATATATTGGCTAAGTGCATCACAGGTTGAATGTGATTAGGGGCTGATGACATGTGCTCTGACTTCCCATTAATTTTCCATCTCCACTTCTGGATTAAACAACCCTAGGTTTAACTGGGAATCAGCTACACTGACAGATGATCTCAGATCATCCAGAAATACTTCCTGATTGGGACACAGGTTGCTTATTTGTGACTCTTCTGGCACAAATCTTTCTGACTCAACTCCTTCCGTGAAACAGGAATATTACACCAGTCACCTTCAGAAAGCACTTTGAGATCTAGTGATGTGAAAAGTGGCAGAAGACTGATTCCTTGTAAGCCTGTTCCTAGCAGAATGTGGCAGAAAGTCATTATTCTTATGCCTGTATGAAAATGAGGCTATTTCACCACTCCATTTACTGTAGTCCTACCAAAGTAAGACTGGACTGAACGCTCTAGTTTGAATTCTAATGAAAGACACAACAACAGTCCCACGCTGCTTCTGACTAACAGCTCCAGTTGTGCTAACTTCTTCTCCTGTAGTGCTTGATAATGGATACTGCCACTGTTCAACTCCAAGTCCATTGGCTTTCAACAGAGTGCTGTGGATGAGCTTCCCTCAGTTATTGACTGCATGGGGAATGACGAAGCATTCTTTCCAAGGCAACGAGTGGCATTTCTTACCTCGATGATGATTCTGGGATACTGGAGGAGGAAAAAAAGGAAGAGAAAAAAAAATTATCAAAACATCAAGAAATTCACTGAGGAGACAGAGAAATACTAGAACATAAAGAAGGGTCTGAATGGCTTTCTCTGGTTAGAGAAGACTGAGCCCAGGAAATAACTGGGAACCCACGTCTGTAGTTTCAAGAGGATAACCGGTTTGGAATTTATCTTTTCTATAAAAACATCCATTTTTTTTTCTACATACATGGGGCAGGTAAAGTGACTACAAAACCTGTGTACTGTGAGAGATTTCCAGAAGTGCTTTCAGACCCTTTGCCCTCTCTGAAGGCAGGGAAAGGATGGAGTGTGAAGCTAAGAAGTTAAAACTGTTCTCAAAAAATACCAGGAGGCCTATCCCATGCTCTTCTTATTCAGTTTCTAAGGGATAGAGTCTCAGTGAACAGGTACCTCAAAAGGGTGATTGAAAAGTCTTGATTATCAGTCATACTTACTGTCTCCTGAACAGGTCTGAACTGGGTATCTAAAGTGACTACACGGAACAACACTGAAAAAGACATAGAACAAAAAAGGATCACAGAATTGTCAAGGTCAGAAGAGACTTCAAAGGTTGTCTAGTCTCACCATGAACCCAGCACCACCATAATCACCCCTAAACCATATCCCCAGCTGCCACATCCAGATGTTTCCATAATTTGCTTTATCAGTAGTGATAAATGACTTTGAATATACAACTGAAACAAAGTTTACCCAGTAAACTCTGTGCAGCATTGAAGTATAATTATGCTAGAGAGATAGCTAACTAAACTACAGCTAGTACTGTCACTTAAATACTGTGACAGAATCAGCACTTTGTAATAGATCAGCAGTTAAGCAGAAAGAGCTGTTGACAGGAAATTAGGTGCTTACTTAATTTTTATATTAATTTTATTAGTTTCAAACTTAGCCTATTATTTTCTATATTTTAAGGATATTTTTTATGTGACTGGCCTCAAGTAAACCTGACAGAACTCAAGATCCTGTAAATGAAATTAACTCAGTAAAAATACATGATCTCTACTAATTTGTGGCAATTTTGTAAACTGGTTTTATTTTTCACTAACTTCTGGTGATGCCAACATCAGTTGAGGTCTTTTATTCCTCAAGAGGAAGTTTTTGTTGTCCTAGACCCGCCCTTGCACTCAAGTTCTCACTTCTCTAGCTGACTCAAACTAATCATCCACCTGTTTGCCCTGGTTTGTAGATGGGTTTGTCCGTCTGGATGAAGACAGCATTATCCACATTCTGAATTGCCACTGATCTTCTCTCATCTAAGTCGACTGTGGTGCCTTTGGCAGAGAAGGAAATGAATGCCAGAGGATCAGAAGTAGCAGGTGGGACCTGGAGAGGAACAAAATCCCAGAGAAAAGGTGATAAACAAGATATGTTGATGTTCCCTAATTCCCAGGCTTATTGAGTAAGATACTGACAGTCAGTTGAGTCAAAAATACTTTATACAGAGTCATGAGAAGCCCCATCATGGACAGTGAGATAATTTCTGCTGTGGAAGTCCCATAATCTGTCACCAGGTACTAAGATTTGTAGCTATTCTCTGTCCTGTGTGTTTCACAGCCATATACTTCAATTTTGAAGTGTTTTCTCCTGCTGTGTTCAGAAAGACCTAACCTTGGGACTTTTTTGTCTTGTCTGCATAGATGTTGCAGGGTCACAAGAAAGGGAATGAGCATCACCCAATCTGGGTTCTCCAACTTGACACTTAGACAGTCCCAAATGGAGCATGCAGCTGTGATACAATCTAAAGCTTTTTTCTGTTCACTCTGTGAATGAAAATGGAAAGTTTTTTCCTACCTTGCTCCTACAATCCATATGTCTTTTTTTTTTTTTTTTTTTTTGCTTATTTTGCTGAGTCTTTACAGCAGTTTATTTTTTTATATACTTCATATTCTTTCTTTCATTGACAAGGATAGTCACAATCAGAAGTATTTCCAGCTTCTACACCTTCTTTAGTAGTTTCAAAAGAGAAAATACCTTGAATTCACCACACTTGAAGAAATCATTCTTTGTCACGGATTCCTCAAAGAGAGTCTTTTGGATACCGCCATATTCCAGGACAACATTCATGGAGAGAGGCTCAGTGAGGTTGTGGAACTGCACACAAGCAGTCTGTGGAGAGTCGCTCCGCACAACTGATGGGACCAGCAGCACATACTGTCTGTAAGATGACAAGACCAAATCAGAGAGTGCAGTCATGGAGGAAAGTCAGAGCAAACAGGTGAGGAAAATACCACTGAAAGGTGTGAAAGAAGACATGGTCCGAAGTTTGCTCAAATTGGTGGAAGGATCTCCATTTCTTTTGATGAATTTTAAATAATATGCTAAAGTAGTACAAATGTCAACTTTTTAACCCCTCACATTTCTTTCTGAGCTGAGAGACTGGTATCATTCTATGGAGTGTCTTATCTAGCATGATACTGCGTCTTTCCATTCCATATAATTACATAGCTCTGATTACTAAACACCTGACAAGCATATCTGCATTTATCCTCCCATGTGTACTTAAACCTCTATAACATCCCATAAGGAGGAGTGATATTCAGTTTCTTCTTGCAATCAATGACAAAAATACTAGTTACCTGCTGCAACAATTTTTAAATTCCTTTTTCTCTGGATATCTCTCAGATGAGAACTGACATAAGTCAGTCCACATAATGCACAAGAAATGATCCAGCTTTTCCATTTCACAGAATATTCCAGAGAATGCTCAATCTAACCTGTAAGCTCTATTGTGTTCCATGCCTCTGTTTCCACGTTTCTCCCTGTGTTCTTTCCTTTGTTTCTTTCTTCTATTGAACTTTTTAATTTATACTGCTCTCTATAATTAAGAGAGCCTTCTTTCCCAGACTTCTTCCTCTGAAAAGCATTCCTTCATATTTGCTATACTTGTCTAAAGTTCTGCTGCTGTCCACCAAACTGGTCTTTCCTAACAATGTATGACAGAATTAACTTCTCTAGCACAACATGAATCACACAATCTTTTCATTCTAATCTGATCCTTTCCTTTTTTCTCTCCCACAGCTTTGCTAGCTCATATTGCCTTTATTGTTATTTTCACTTGCCTAGTTCAAGCTGCATGAAATACAAAGACCAAGAGTAAAATTAATAAAATTAACAGTGTGTCTGAGAAAGCTAAGCTCTCTTTCACAGTGTTTTCATTTAGAACTTTTGAGAAGGGGATTTAAGCTCTAATGTTGGTGCATTTTTGAAAATTGCGGCTGAAATCTTCTGTTTGTATAAAGACAAGGACATTGACAGTGCTAATATAAATACTGATACTAATAATACTAGGATTGCCATTCAACGTAGTCTCTACCACTAGGCATTACCTGGCCTCTGGCACCTCCTCATACACCATGCTCCCTCTGTGCTGCTGATTATATCAATCCTGATCATTAGTATTACTTGCTAGTCTAGTCTTGAATCTCCTTCCCACTTTACCCATGCACATCAGACTTTGTCTACTTCAGTTTCAGGTTTTTGTCATTCAAATTAAATTTCATAGCAGTCTCCCTCATAGAATGATGGAGAGCATCATTCCAAACCGTCCTTCACTGTCATCTGCTTCCATTTCAGACAAATTTAAGCAACTAGTTCTCAACACCCTGTTTATTATAGCAGTGTCCCAGAAGAAATAAACTTGTGGGAAATATAATAAAATATGTTATCATAAAAACACAGAATGTATGATCACTTACGTTTCAGAAGACACTATGGTAAACCAGTTCAAAGACAGAATACCCAGAAAAATCCTTGACCACATCTCTACCTGTGAAGAAAGGAGAGAGACTGATCTCAAGTTGACAGCTTGTCTCTGGCTTTTAAATTGGCCTGAAACAGTGCTCCTCCTCCATGGCTTCAATCACACTCTCACAAAAGACATCTACATAAAATTTGCATACGTTCATTTTCCTCCCTACTGTCTGTTCTCACACTCCTTGGACTCTCAAACAATAGCTTTGGAAAGCTCTCGTATTTCACATAGCTTTGTGAGGTATTGCCAGCCAAACCGGTTCCTGCCCATATGATTGTTTCATTGAAGCTTACCTCTTTGATTGTCATGCCACTGGCTGAATGTTCCTTAATGTTTCAACTTGTCAGTATTTGCCATTGCCTAAGTGTTTCGTTATTCTGCAGAAATCTCCAGCAGATAGATATCACAGCAATAACCATATAACCAAATACAACAGAAATAACCATAACACAGTGCTATTCTGTGTCTGCATGGGGTCCTCATTAAAAATACAGCATCAATTAGAACACAGCTGTACCTGCATTCAGAATGGCACTAAAGGAAGCTCCTAAATGTAATCTCAATTTCTTACTGCAGACACTAACATTAAGCAAGGAGTGGTGTTGGCTAGTTGTCTGTCATTTTTGCCAGTGGTCAGGACAATCATATCTCTAAGGAAAGGAATCTGATAACATTACTTCATTTGTTTATTCATCTGTCAGTCTGCTTTTCCCCCTCATTCCTGCTCCCCCCATTAAACAACTTGTGAGTCTGTTGGTGAATTTTTTGTAAATATGACTGAGAACAAGTTTCAGAATAATCAAGATATAGAATCACAAAATAATTTAGACAGAATAGGACCTTCTGACATTATGTGGTCCAATCTCTCCTTCTAAGCAGTCATGTTTTGAATATCTTCAGGAATGGAGAGTCCACATCATCCCTGGACATCTGCTCCCCTGCTTAACCATCCATGCTGTGAAGATTTTTTCCCTTAACTCAGAATTTCGCATATTATAACCTGTGTCCATTTTCTCTTGCCCTTTCACTGTGCAATCCTGGCAATAATGTTTCCTTCTTCTCTATAATCCCACTTTACACTGTGGAAGACTAAAATCATGTCCCCACAAGCCTTTGTTTCTCCAGGCTGAACTAAATGAGACTGTCTTTTTCTGTAGGTTTGTTCCAGTCCCTGAACATCCCAGTGACCTCCCATTGGACTCCCTCCGGTCTATTAATGCCTTTCTTGTACTGAGGAGCTAAACCTGGATGCAGAACTTCATCTGCTAAATAGAGGGGAAGAATCAATTTCCATGATGTGCTGGCTAAAATCTTGGTAATACTACCAAGGCAACTAAATATCTATGGTAATTTGGCACTGCATTCACACTCTTAATAAGGAAATGGAAAAAAAAAGCCAACCTGAAACAAAATAAGGCAGCCAATCAACAGCAGTGTGTAACTGCAACCTCAGGGATGTAACAGGCAATTTCACTTCCCATTTGTCTTCCTCAGCCAAACAGGTGATAAACGGGAAGAGGAAGCTGAGTATACTGTAGGAGTAATTAGGAACATGAAAGAGTGCTAGGGGCACTGAAAAAGATATTAGGCAATGCAGAGTGGTCCCAATGTTATTTCAGTGGCAAAGGGTATGGGAAGGAAATGAGAACTACTATAGTAACGTGGTGTACAAATAACTGTGTGCCTGTTGAAAGCCAGATTCTATCCATTTCACTTTTCATGATATAATACATTCCTGCAACTGTGTAGCTAATGATTCAGTCATATGAAAATTTTTTCCATCAGCATATGTGAAGCGCTAAACTACTCATGCCTAACCAGCTTCCCTACCCAACTTTCCCAAAAGCTTTCTGATGACCAATTTGGGACACAAAAAAGCCTGCCCTGGATGCTGTTGGAGCTACAGTCTTTTCCCACTGAGTTACTAATGAGCAATATTGCATAAAGCTTCCCGGAACAACCTGAGTTTACAGTGCTAATGCTCAGCTGGCTGGTGGTTGTTGTGCAAACAGGGCAGTCACATATCAAAGGAAGCTGCTTGCATTAGTTGTAATGATGTCAGAAGACAGTTAAGAATACGTCATGGACCTGTTTATATTTGCAGCTTTGAAGTGCCTCAGACTCCATCTCTTACTTTAAACAGGTTCTAAGTTATAGCCAAAAAGAAATTAAAGAGGGAGAAGGAAACAGCAAGCAATTCCAGGGTCCTGGTGCAAATTGCTCTGGAAGCTCACCCTTTATTTAAGTGCAGTGTGATTTTAGCATGAACATAAGAGGGCTTTGTTGTTTGATAACGGAACAGAAAAAGATAAACAGACACAGAGAAGAAAGAGGTAAAGCTTTTGAAAAACTGAAATCTTAGAAGACATTATGTTCAGATCAGTTGAAAAGTACACATTTCTCTGGAAAAAAAAAGCTATTGAACTCATTACTTTAGTGAAAATACTGATTCCAGAGGACCTCTTGGTATTGTAGCAATTTTGTGACAAAACCACATCACTACCATGTCAGGGATAGCTCTTAAAATCCCAGTGCAAAGGGGAAATTATTCCAGTTGTCTTTGGTAGGAGGGAAAAAGAAGAACCTTTCAGTTGTATGATTAAGAAGCTAGGAGCTGGAGAGGATTAATCATCTAGAAGCACAAAGATTAGCATTTAACATGGAGAGACAACAAACTTCACACTGAGCAGTGGTTACAAGAAAGACACACCAAAGGTACCTTGATACTTGAAGTCATAAGCTCATCTGTGGACCTTAAGGTGTTCCTGCTTTGTATTGGCATTCGGAGAGATGTAATTGGATATCATAGTTTGGCTAAAAATTTGATGAAATGAGGAACAGTGTCAACTTCAAGACCAAAGCAACAAAAATACAGATGTATACTTGGTTTTCAAAGTAGAATCATGTCACATGCTTTTTGGACAGCAGGGGTTGGACTTGATGATCTTGGAGGTCTTTTCCAACCCTATCTATTCTATGATT